GTACTGTCTCTCCAGAACCCCTCTCCCCCTACTCCACAAAGGAGTAAGATCATCTGGTGTTTGCCTTTGTTTTGTTTTTGTTTCGTTTGGTTTTTTGAGGAAGGCTTGGGCCACAGAGCTTTGCCTTACACACGTCTGACCTGGGTTCTATCTCCGACATCCCTGGGCACCAGCAGGAGTAGTTTCTGAGTGCAGAGCCAGGCTGTAACCCCTGACTCGAAAAGCAAAAACAAACAAACAAACAGGTTTGGAGCAATGCCTCCCACCCCCTGGACAAGGGCTAGTTGAGCAAGTCCAGGCTGGCCTAGCTAAAATGTAACATTTGTTCCTTTTTCTCTTATCTCCTGCTTCCCCTGTAAAGCCTCGTGGGAGGAGCCTGCACGAGGGCAGACCCCTTCATGAGACACTTTCTTCAGAATCCCTGATCAGGGGCCCCAGACATAATCCAGGGCCTATGTCACCTGCCTGGCACGCAGCCAACCTTAGTTCAATGCCCAGTACCACATTGTGATTCCCAAGCACTCCATGAGCACAGAGCCATGGAGTCTGAAGTGGCACAAAATCAAACAGAATCACAGAACAGAAGCCCCACTGGTACCTAATCTGGGACTACTAGGCAACCCGTCAGGACCAGGCCTCGTGGAATCTAGATATATAAGGATATATCTGGGATGTATAAGGATATTGGGGAAAAAAAAATAAACCATGTTTCCAGAGGCCGAGTGATAATACAGGGGTAGGACACTTGCCCTGCCCACAGCTGACCTAGGTTCAATTCCTGGCATCACATCTGGTCCCCCGAGTCCCACCAAGAGTGATCCCTGAGCACAGAGCCCGGAATGACCAATCAGAACCCACGTCACCTTCTTCTTTCCCTGCCTGAGTTGCTTCTGGAAACAGTGCAGACAAGCCAGTGGCCTCTGTGGCAGGTGGCAGGGAGAGTGGGGAGCAGGGAAAGTTGAGTCAGGAAAAGTGTTTCTGGGGCTGGAGGAACAGCTCACAGCAGGGAGGGCATTTGCCTTGTACGCGGCCGACCAGAGTTCGATCCCCAGCATCCCGTAGGGTCCCCCGAGCACTGCTAGGAGTCATTCCTGAGTGCAGAGCCAGGAGTAATCTCTGAGCATCGCCGGGTGTGAGCCCAAAAAGCAAAAGGAAAAAGGAAAGAAAAATGTCTCCACCTCCCTGCTTCACCCACTCAGCTACCCGCGCTTGGGCACTGCCAGCCTAGACCAGGCACGGCCCTCGGGGCAGAGAGCGAGGGCTCATCGCCTTCCCCCACAGACAGGAAAGAGTTTCAGGAGGAGGTGAAATGGTGAAGCAAGATTATTTTTACTGAAACATTTGGAAGGACTTGGGGGCAGAGAAAGAGAGAAGGACTTGTTCAAGAGAGAACAGGGGCGGGGCTGGAGCGATAGCACAGCGGGTAGGGCGTTTGCCTTGCACGCAGCCAACATGGCCAACACAGGTTCGATTCCCAGCATCCCATAAGGTCCCCTGAGCACCGCCAGGAGCAATTCCTGAGTGCATGAGCCAGGAGTAACCCCAGAGCGTTGCCGGGTGTGACCCAAAAAGCAAAATTAAAAAAAAAAAAAGAGAGAACAGGGGCTTCTGCAGAGCGGAAGTAAGCAAAGAAACATTGAGAGGAGCCAAGCGAGATAATGTCCAAGACCAAGCACGTTCTGTCAGCAAAGTTTTTTGTTTTTTTTTTTGGGTCACTCCTGGTCGAACCTAGGTCGGTTGCGTGCAAGGCGAACGCCCTACCCGCTGTGCTATTGCACCAGCCCCGTTTTTCTGGAGCTTTGCCTGTGTAGCACAGCGGGTAGGGCGTTCGCCTTACATGCGGCCAACATGGCCGACCCGAGTTCGATTCCTCCGCCCCTCTCGGAGAGCCCGGCAAGCTACCGAAAGTATTCGATATGCCAGACACAGTAACAACAAAGTCTCCAATGGAGATGTTACTGGGCCCGCTCGAGCAAATCGACGATCAACGGGAGGGCCTTTACCTTTACCTTTACCTGCCTGTGTAGAAGTTAACCTGGAAAAAAAAAAGGAGTAAGGGGCTAGTACATTGAGGAGGATGTTTGCCTTGCATGGTCCCTGCCGGAATCCCATAGGGTCCCCTGAGCACCGCCAGGAGTAATTCCTGAGTGCAGAGCCAGGAGTCACCCCTGAGCATTGCCAGGTGTGACCCCAAATAAGCAAAACCCAAAGGAGTGTTGTCCCAGGGAAGCCCTGCGCTGCTGATGGTCTCCTGATCCCACCTTGCCCTGTCGACGGCTTCCAGAATCCCAGGTTCTGCTGCAGCCTCTCTTTTCTGAGGGGCCCAGAGGTCTGCATCTGGGGGATGCTTCAGCGTCTCTCCTCCAAAGCTCTCAGGATGTCTGCCTTTCTGCCTTTGGGCTGCTTCAGGGTTAGGCAATCTTTGTTTTTTTGGGGGGGTGCACACCCAGCAGTGCTCAGGTTCTACACTCAGGGCTCACTCCTAGAGGGCTGGGGGACCTATGTGGTGTCAGGGATTGAACGCAGGTCAGCTCCTTGCAAGACAAATGCCCTGTCTGCTGACCAATCACATCAGCCCCTAGGTAATCTCCTCCTCCTCCTCCTCCTCTCTTCTCCTCCTTCTCCACCTCCCCTCCCCCTCCCCCTCCCCCTCCCTTTCCCCTCCTTCTTCTTCTCCTTCTCCTCCTCCTCCTCTTCTTCCTCTGTTTTTTTTTTTTGTGTGTGTGTCTTACACAGTGATGCTCAGGGGTTACTCCTGGCTCTATGCTCAGGAGTTACTCCTGGCGGTGCTCAGGTGACCATATGGAATGCTGGGAATCGAACCCGGGTTGGCCGTGTGCAAGGCAAACGCCCTCCCCACTGTGCTATCACTCCAACCCCCATAATCTCTTCTTAAATGTTATTATTCTTCAAATGAAACAATACATGATGAGGGGTTGGAGTGATAGGACACTGTGTAGGGCACTTGCCTCGCACATGACTAGCCCGAGTTTAATCCCTATCATCACATCTGGTTCCCCAAGATAATTACTCTGGTGGGAACCCAGAGTAATCCCTGAGCACAGAGCCCAGAGTGCCTCCCAAACCGACACCAACCAGAACCCACACTTCGGTCCACTGTGAACGTCACTGGATAGTCACTGGCCTAGAGCATCATTTCCCAGATGCTTGAATCGTTTATTCCATCACGAATGTCCATCGAGGGGCCATCACTTAGTAGATGAGTCGGGGTGCATGCCTGCCCTGCACCTCACCTGTGCACCTGGCACTGCTTGGACCCTGGAGCACTGCTGGGGGTGCCCTGGAGGCCCTGGGCACAGCCAGGGTGGTCAGCTGGTCCTCCCCCACTGCAGTACTGACCGAGCACTGCTCAGAGTGGCCCCTGGGACCCCGAAGCTCTGCTTGGGAATCTCCTTCCCCCAAATAACCAAATATCCTTTGAACTTGTGCCAGAAGCAAAAGAAATCGCTGCTTGCTTTCTTCATTTATTTATTTATTTATTTTGGGTTGTTGTTATTGTTTGTTTGGGGGTTTACTCTTGGCTCTGTGCTCAGGGATCACTCCTGGCGGTGCTCAGAGGACCATAGGGGATGCTGGGGATCGAACCCTGGTCGGCAGCATGCACTGTGCTATTGCTCTAGCCCCTCGTCATTGATGTTTCCCTTTGGGCGACACCCATTGGTGTGCAGGGGCCGCCCCTGACCGCTGGGGCGCAAACCCGGGGTCCCACGTGAAGCGCCGGCTGCAGCCTAAGCCACGCCTCCAGTTCTGCTCTCACAGAGAGCACGGGCCGGGGCTAACCACCTTTCTGCATCTGAGTCAAACGTCAGATGGGTGTTCGTTTGGTTCTGTTAGGGTTTTTTTAAATTTTTCTTTCTGGGTCACACCCGGCGATGCACAGGGATTACTCCTGGCTCTGCGCTCAGGAATGACTCCTGGCGGTGCTTGGTGGACCATATGGGATGCCGGGGATCGAGCCCAGGTTGGCTGCATGCAAGGCAAATGCCCTCCCAGCTGTGCTATCGCTTCGGCCCCTCTGTTCGGGTTTTTGACCACATCTAGTGGCTCACTTGGGCTCAGCTCTCAGACCTGCCCTGTGCAGACACTATTTCTTTTCTCTGATAACTTAGCTGATGTCCCAAACATCAGATCAGTTTTCACCATATTCTAATGTGCATTGTTGTCCATAAGCCATGGAGATAGTACAGCAGGCAGGAAGCCAACCCGGGTACAATCCCCAGCATCCCCGAGGCTCACCCCAGCCCTCCAGGAGTGATCCCTGAGCACAGCTGTCAGCCTTGAACCCCACCAGAAGCACAGAACACAATACCTTGTTGTCCATCGCATGAAGTGAGGAAATAGCTGGGTCTGTGGAGAATTAAAAGCCCAAGGCCAGGCCCCGTTTTTATGAACTTGGCTCGTCAGCCAGCAGCAGTCCCTCCACCCCAGTCTCTGCCGGAGCCCGCCGAGCATGTCACTGTGTGTCTGAAAGAGCCGGTGAGCGAGTCGGTCATTGATAATTTTTGCTGCTTCTATTCAAATGGAAAGAAATATAAAGGACGGATGGAAAGAACGAGAGAAGGGAGAAGGGAAAGGGGAAGGAGGAAAGGAGGGAGGAGAAGGAGGCAGGGACAGGAAGGCAATGGAAGGAAGGAGGGAAGGAAGGAGGAAGGGAGGGATGGAGGGACAGAAGGGAGGGAGGGAGAGAAGGAGGGAGGAAAGAAGGGGGGAGGGAAAGGAGGAAGGAAGGGAGATAGGGAGGGAGGAGGGAAGAAAGGAAGGAAGGGAGGGATGGAGGGACAGAAGGGAGGGAGGAGGGGGATGAGTGCCTCAGCTGGGTCTCCGGTGTTCATCCCCTGAGGGCGCAGTCCTGTCCATCCGGGCAGCTGTAGGACTTGAGGCCCTGCAGGGGAGCAGATGTCTCTGTGATGCGGTGACCCGTCCCCCAGCCTTCATCTCTGTCACTGTGCTAACACGGGGCGCCCACCACCTCTTCCCAGAGTTCGTCTGCGCGCTGGACGCTTCGGATGAGTTCCTGAAGGACCGTGTGATAAACCTGCCCGAGAGCGTGGTGGCGGGCACCCACTACAGCCAGGACCGCTTTCTCCGCGCGCTCGCCACCTTCCGTGACGTCAGCACCGAGGACGAGACGGTCCTGAACTACTTCGATGAGCTCGAGATCCACCCCATCCACATCGGTAGGAAGGCAGCGTGTGTGTGTGTGTGTGTGTGTGGGTGTGTGTGTGGGGGGGGGGGGGCGGCGGACACAGCTGAGTGTGTTTTTGAATTTTTTTGAATGTTTTAATTTTATACTTAACATGGTGATTTACCAGTTTGTTCATAATGCAGTTGTTTCAGGCATTCACGGTTCCAACTCCAATGTCACCACCAGTGGGACCTTCCCCGCACCAGTGTCCCCAATTTTCCAACCTCCACCAAGCCTGTCCCCTTGCAGGCACCAACAAATTTACTTCACATTGTTGGTTACTACACAAAGGCAAATGGAATGATCAAAAATAGATCACTCAGGGGCTGGAGCGATATATCGCACAGCGGGGAGGGCATTTGCCTTGCATGCGGCCGACCCAGGTTCGATTCCCAGCATCCCATATGGTCCCCTGAGCACCGCCAGGAGTGATTCCTGAGTGCATGAGCCAGGAGTAAGCCCTGTGCATCGCTGGGTGGGACCCAAAATGAGGAAAAAAAAAATAGATCACTCAGAGTCCATTGGTAATAATTGCAGTATCTCACATTGGTGTTTATTTATTTATTTATTTAGCTTTTTGGGTCACACCCAGCAATGCTCAGGGGTTACTCCTGGCTCTGCACTCAGGAATTAATCCTGGTGGTGCTCAGGGAACCATATGGGATGCCGGGGATTGAACCTGGGTTGGGCTTGTGTGCGAGGCAAACACCTTATCTGCTGTACTATCTCTCCAGCCCCTATTTATTTATATTTTGCTGTTGGGGTCACACCTGGGGATGCTCAGGGGTTGTTCCTGGCTCTGCACTCAGGAATCACTCCTGGCGGTGCTTGGGGAACCAGATGGGGGTGCCGAGGATCAAACCCGGGTCGGTCGTGTGCAAGGCAAACGCTCTCCCTGCTGCGCCATCATTCTGGTCCCATGGCACTGGTGTTATAAAGCCATTGCCTGAGCATCTTCTATGCTGGCTGGTGCGAACTGAGCCTTCTGGGCCATTGTTTTCGCCCACTGACCTTGGGGGCCTCTATGCAGCTTTCCTGTCAGATTGGTCGTGGTCCTACTGGGTGCACAGTAACTGTGAAACTTGGAGCTGCGGAGTGGGAATGATTTGGAAGCTCGGCAGTTTGATAAGGTTCAGTGGTAGCTGGGCCGTTTCTGTGCCGGAGGGCATTGGGTGTGGCTGCGGGCTGCTGGGCCTTCAGGCCGAAAGGGGACTCTGAGGGGCCATAGTTTCACAATAGCCAGACAGGGGGAAACACACGGCAAGGTCAGAGCTCAGGCAATGAGGTGCGGCTTAGCTCAGGCCTAATGGGGGGCTGGGGGAGTCTCTCCTCTTGCTCTTGCCTGGGCTTCTGACTTCCCATCAGCTTGTCCCAGCCCAGCGCTGAAGGTACCGCCGTGTAGGAGGAGCATATGGGCGTTGCCCCCAGAAAGCCAAGGAGGTTCTGTTCCCAGCTGAACCCACCACCACCCTTCCCTACCGGCGGTTTCGAGCAAATGTGACCCATCGCGGTGCAGGGGCCGTGGGGGGCTCACTGGCAGGTCCTTTTTCTTTTCCTTCCTATTGGGTTTGATTCTTGGTACATACTCGGGACCACGTGGTGCCTGGGATCGATCGTGGGTCTTCTGAGCCCGAGCTCCAACCGTTTGTGCATCCCCAGCCCTCTCCTCCTTAAAATAAAAAAGATGGGGGCTGGAGCGATAGCACAGTGGGGAGGGCGTTTGCCTTGCACGCAACCGACCCGGGTTCGATTCCCAGCATCCCATCCCATTCCCCGAGCAATGCCAGGATTAATTCCTGAGACTATGCATTGCAATGTAGCACTGTCCTCCCATTGTTCATCGACTTGCTCCAGCGGGCCCAGTAAGGTCTCCATTGTGAGACTTGTTGTGACTGTGTTTGGCTTATCGAATACATCACGGGGAGCTTGCTAGGCTTTGTCATGTGGGTGAGATACTCTCAGTAGCTTGCCGGGCTCTCCAAGAGGGCCGGAGGGATCAGACTCGGGTCGGCTGGGCTGGCTGGGCCGGCCACGTGCAAGGCAAACGCCCTACCTCTGTGCTATCACTCCAGCTCCCCGAGACTATGAGCCAGGAGTAATTCCTGAGTGCACGAGCCAGGAGTAATTCCTGTGCATCATCGGAATTCCTGTGACCCAAAAAAGCAAAAAAATTGAAAAAAATTAAAAATAAAAGATTTTCATCCTTTATTAGTATGAGATAGTCTTATTTTTTTTTTTATTGGTGGGCACCCAGCTGTGCCCCAGAGCTTACTCCTGACTCTAAACTTGGGGATCACCTGTGATGTTCGGGGAGAACATTTGGGCTGCCAGGGATCAAACTGGACTTGGCTGTGTGTGAGGCAAATGCCCTACCTGCTGTGCTATTTTGCTCTGGCCCCAAGATAAGAAATTATTTTTGTTTTGGGGTCATAACTGGTGGTGCTCAGGGATCATGCCTGGCTCTGTGCCCAGGAGTTACTATTACTCCCTGCAGTGCCTGGGGTGGGGGGGATTATACGGGGTGTCAGGAATAGAACCTGGGTCAGCCGTATGCAAGGCAAACGCCTCACTCATTGTACTATCGCTTTGGTCCCCAAGACAAGAAATTCTTGGCTGTGCAGGACCTAGCAGAGGGCCCATCTGGGGAGAAACCATTGCCCCTCTGGCATTGAGAGCCACGCAGCTGTCCGGGTGGCAAACGTGCACAAACCTTCTTCTCTCCCCTGGCGCTTACAGATGTCGGGAGGCTGGAAGATGCCCAGAACAGACTCGTCATCAAACAGCTCATCAAGGAGATCGGGGAGCCTCGGAACTACGGCCTGACGGAAGAGGAAAAGGAGGAGGAGGAGCGCAAAGCCGCCGAGGCGCTCCTGGCCAAGGAGGCCACGGAGCAAGCGGAGAAGAAGCGCAAGGAAGCCCAGGAGATGGAGGAGAAGAAGGCCCGCTGGGAGGAGTGGGTGAGTGTGCCTGCCGCACGCGCGGGCTGGGCACGTGGCGGGCATGTGTGCGCGAGGGTGCGTGTGCGTGGATGAGTGCATGCGTGTTTGCATGTGGCTGAGGCTACGGGCGCCTGAGTGTGTGTGTGTGTGTGTGCACATGTGTGCACATGTGTGAGTGTAGATGCATGGGCCTGGGTGAGTGTGTGGGTGTGCGGGTAAGTGGGAGTGTGTGTGGGTGAGGGTGCACATGTGTGCGTGTTTGTAGGTGAATGTGCACATGTGCATGTGTCTACATGGGTGGGTGAATGTGCATGTGTGTGGGGTTGTGCGCACTGAGTGTGCACATGCGTGTGTGTGAGCGCTCACTGTGTCGGTGTGCACATGTGTGCATGTTAGTGGGTGAGTGTGCACACGTGTGGGTGATTGTGCGCCTGTGTGCATGTGCATGGGTGTGTGCACATGTGTGGGTTAGTGTACATAGTGTGCGCATGTGTGAACGTGAGTGTGCACATGTGTGGGTGAGTGTTCACACGTGTGTATGTGTGGGTGATTGTGCACCTGTGGGCATGGGCATGGGTGTGTGCACACGTGCCGGTTAGTGTACATGGGGTGTGCACACACGTGGGTTAGCACTAACCCACATAGAGTGTGCACACGTGTGAACACGAATGTGCCCGGGTGTACTTGTGGGCTAGTGATTGTACACCGAGTGGGTATGGGCGTGTCTGCACATGTGTGGGTAAGTGCGCACATGTGCATGTGTGGGGGTGAATGTGCACATGTGTGGGTGAGTGTGCGCCTGTGTGCATGTGCATGGGCGTGCGTACACGTTGTGGGTCAGTGTGCATGGAGGGTGCGCACACGTGAATATAAGTGTGCACAAGTGTACTTGTGTGCTAGTGATTGCACATCGAGTGTGTATGGGCGTGTCTGCACATGTGTGGGTGAGTGCGCATGTGTGTGCATGGGTGCGCATGTCTGAATGTGCAGGCAGGGGCCCGTTAGGCCTAGGAACTCCCCCTTGCTTTGTCCCCTAGCATGTTTTTGTCTGTCTGAGGCATGTTAGTTCCAGGATAGTCTCTCTATTCAGGATACGACCTCACATGGCCTCACACATGTACTTGTCACCCCCGTGCACGGCTTCTGTTCGGGCCCCACCTTGGGGTCCTCTCTGCTCCATCACCTGGGTTCTGTGGTCACACCCCAGTGGGTCATTTAGCCCAAACATGTAGTGTGCCATCGTTTGGGAGTGCTTCCCATCAGTGCGGAGGGCAGTGGGACTCTACTCAGAGCCTGTGTGGCACCCGGGCTGGGACCCAGGACCTGCCCGCAGACAAGTGCTTTAGACACAGACGCCCAAGGGGCGAGAGAGACACATGGGCTGGCGCTCTAAGCCTTGCGACCCCCAGCATCCCGCTGTCCCTTGGGCTCTGCCAGGAGGGCCCCCAGCCAGCACCCTCAGGCGTAGTCAGCCCCTGCCACGCCCAAATCACCCGAAATAACGCTTTCATGATTCCACATGAAATCCAGTTCAAAGAAACAAAACTGGCAAAATATTAAAATATCTAATTAGACATGATAAAAATAAATATCTCCTTTTTAAATTTGGTGCCCTCTTTGAGGCCATCCATTCTTCATTTCTCTCTATTACCTCCTCCCCCATTTCCCTCCTCACCCCTCATGTAGCCTTGGTTGGTCAGGTCATCAGTGTCAACTGGCTGGCTATTTTTTCATTTCTTTTTGTGTTTATCAGTTTGGGGGGGTATTGTTTTGTTTGTTTATGGGCCACCCCTGCCACTGCTCAGCGGCCACTAGCGGCCACTCTCAGACCCCTGCTCGGGTGCTCAGGGAGCCCCGTGGGGACTGTCAGCGTGCTGGAAGTCCAGACCATGCTGTCAATTTTTTCTGGTAGGAGACTTACTTTTAATTTTTAATTTTTCTTTCCTTTTTTTGTTTTTGTTTTGGGACCACACCCTGTGCTCAGGGCTTATTCGTGGCTCTGCACTCAGGAATCACTCCTGGCAGTGCTAGGGCACCCTATGGATGTCGGGGATTGAACTCGGATTGGCCATGTGCAAGGCAAACGCCTTCCCCACTATAGTGTCCCTCCAGCCCTACTTTAAGGCATCACCTATCTCCAGACTACCAAGCCAGCCATGGCTGAGTGAAGCAGTGAGGTGGTATCACCAACGTCCTTGCCCCGCCTACACAACCAGGCTGCCCTTCTGAACTTGAAAACTGCACTTATAAATATTATGCCTGAAGGACCAGAGAGATGGTAGAGGGGATAAGGTGACTGCCATGTACATCACATACACCCTGAACACTGCCAGGAATATTCCTGTCTTGAGCACACAGCCAGGAATGACCCCTGAGTACCTAGGTGTGGTCTAACACCCATAAAAAGAAAAAGATGAACTAAAGTATCAGTAAGAGCATGACGCAGAGGCTCAGCAAGAAACAGTTTTTATTTATTAATATTTTTATTGGTTTTTTTTTTTTTTTTGCTTTTGCTTTTGGGTCACACCCGGCATTGCACAGGGGTTACTTCTGGCTCATGCACTCAGGAATCACTCCTGGCGGTGCTCGGGGAACCATATGGGATGCTGGGAATCGAACCCGGGTCGGCCTGCGTGCAAGGCAAACGCCCTACCCGCTGTGCTATTGTTCCAGCCCCAGGAAACAGTTTTTAACAGAGAAAACACTCTAATCAGCAGAGTCAAAGCAATGCCATCTGCACTATTTGCAGAGACCAGAGGGAACAATTCCCTCTAGGTTAGATGATCAAGAGATCTCGATGCTTATAAGGATCGGAGACAGAAACCAGAAATAACTCTCTGGTACACATTTCTAGAGTCTTTGTGGGTTTTTGTTTTGGGGGGCCACACACAGCAGTGCTCAGAGCATACCCCCGGCTCTGTGCTCTAGAATCACCCTCCCAGGGCTCAGAGGACCATACCAGCATTGGCTGCATGCAAGGCAAATACCCTATCTGCTGTACGACTGCTCTGGCCCCAGCATTTCTATAATCTTATAAATTATATTGGTTTCTGAGAAAACCCAAAAAGTCAATAGTCAAGAAGTTAAGCTCTGGCCTTCTCACAGAAAGCCTACAGAGAAGGTACTCTTGCAAACATTCAGATTAAGAAGAGGTTAAAAAGAAGAAAAAGTGAGGGCCAGAGAGATGGCACAGGGGTTAAGGTGGCTGCCAGGTGACCTCACACCGCATGATGGCTGGGAGTGGCCCACCCCACAACATAAAGGAGAGGGGGAGAGAGAGGGAGTGGGGAGTGGGGACTTCCTTGAAATTCTCTTGTACTGTAAATTTTTTGTCTTTTAGTTATAAAACAAAAATGACTTCATCAAGGCCCAAATGTCGCACACATCTATAGAACTGTGAGTTTCTCTTCTGTTCTGACAGTCACACCTAGTGGTGCTCAGGGGACCATAATGCAGTGCTGGGGACCAAACCTGGGTCTCTCAGATGCAAAACATGCATCAGCCCGTTGAGCCGTCTCCCAGCTCCTGTTCGTCCAGTTCATGTCCCTAGAACTTGCGCGGGAGAGAGACCATCCAACATTTCTCTTTTTCCGGCTAATTTTGCTTCCCGTCTTTATTCAAACTCCTTGAATTTTTTTTCTGCTTTTTTTTTGTGGGGGAGAGGTCACACCTGGCGATGCACAGGGGTTACTCCTGGCTTTACACTCAAGAGTTACCCCTGGCAGTGCTCAGGGGACCATATGGGATGCTGGGAATCGAACCCGGGTAGGCCGCGTGCAAGGCAAATGCCCTACCCGCTGTGCTATTGCTCCAGCCCCCCCCCCCTCTTTTTGCTTTTTGGGTCACACCCGGTGATGCTCAGGGGTTACTCCTGGCTCTTCACTCAGGAATCACTCCTGGCAGTGCTTGGGGGACCATATGGGATGTTGGAATTTGAACTCCAGTGGACCGCATGCAAAAGACTTGTATTTTGTGAAAGGAAACGCTTCCTCCCAGCAGGATGCATCCCACTCCCCCACACAGGGCCTTACTTGACCGTATTCTCCACCAACGGGTGCTTTGGTGGCTCCCAGAGGTGGCTCCCAGATCTCAGCGCTCGTCATAAACACTGGCGTGGACAAGCAGAGGGCTGGTGTCGCTGTGCAAGTTAGGTTTTCATTTCCTTGGAAGAAATACCCAGACAGGGCAGGGCTGGATCAAATGGGAGCTCTAGGTTCAGGTTGTTAATATTATTGTTATTATTATTATTATTAAAGGGCAGACTGGAGCAATAGAAGAGTGGGTAGGGTTCTTGCCTTGCACGTGGCCGACCTGGTCAACCCGAGTTCGATTCCTTCATCCCTCTCGGAGAGCCTGGCATGCTACTGAGAGTATCTCGCCCACATGGCAAAGCCTGGCAAGCTCCCCATGACATATTCCATATGCCAACCTCAGTAACAACAAGTTTCACAATGTTACTGGGCCCGCTCAAGCAAATCAATGAACAATGGGAGGACAGTGACAGTGACAGTGATGTTTTTTTTTGGCTGGAGTGATAGCACAGAGGGTAGGGCGTTTGCCTTGCATGCGGCCGACCTGGCCGACCTGAGTTCAATTCCTCTGCCTTCGATTCCTCCGCCCCTCTCGGTGAGCAAGCTACTGAGAGTATCTCACCTGCAAGGAAAAACCTGGCAAGCTCCCCGTGACATTTTCGATATGCCAAAAACAGTAACAAGTCTCACAATGGAGACGTTACTGGGTCCACTTGAGCAAATCGATGAACAACGGGACAGCACTACAGTGGTATTATGATCATCATCATCATTATTATTAAGGTTTTGGGCTACACCTGGGTTAGTCCTGTCTCTGCACTCAGAAATCATTTATGGTGGTTCAGGGGACCATATGGGATGCCAGGGTTCAAACCTCCAGTCAGCTGCGCGCAAGTCAAGCACCCTCCCTGCTATCTATCACTCAAGATTATTCCCCACCCTCCACCCCCAGGATTTGGGCCATACCTGCCCATGTTCAGGGCTGACTCCTGCCTCTGCTCACAGGGTCTCTTGGGGGCGCGTATGTGGCGTTGAGGATTTCACGCCTTTGGGTACTGGCATTGAACTGCTGCCTATTGGTGGAATATCAAGGGAATGTCCCCCAGCACACTTCTGCGCAGTGCCTGGGAACCCCTAGGCCATTCCCCCAAAATGCACAGCCCAGGGGCTGGAGCAATAGCACAGTGGGTAGGGCATCTGCCTTGCACGCTACCGACCCCCCCGCCCCCGGTTCGGTTCCCAGCATCCCATTTGGTCCCCTGAGCACCGCCAGGAGTAATTCCTGAGTGCAGAGCCAGGAGTAACCCCTGAGCATCGCTTAGGTGTGACCCAAAAAGAGAAAAAAAAAAAAAACTAAAAAATGCACAGCCCATAACCGTGTGATGTCTTGCTTTTTGCCAGCCCCCCTGGTTTTGCCTTCTTGGACCACCTCACTTGTACAAGGCCAGTGTCTGTCCCTCTGTTTATCTACTTACCACCTCCCCCTCCAGTTTTTATATTATCCTTGTCAGCTGTTCTCTACTAGGGGAACACCAGAACACCATTTTTTTGTTTGTTTTTTTTTTTTGGGTGGGTGGGCCCTACACCCCTAAATAACAGACGGAGTTATTCCTGGCTCTGCATGTAGGAATCACTCCTGGCAGTGCTCAGGGACCCATATGAGATGCCGGGGATCCCACCTAGGTCTGCGGCACGCAAGGCAAGCTCCCTCCCCACTATACTATCACCCCGCCCCTGCGAGTCCGGCTACCCCACCAGTGCAGTGGTCTCGCTGTTGCAGTTCTCGCTCACTCCCAGACCTTCTCTTTGTAGAACAAACGCCTAGAGGAAGTGAAACGGGAGGAGAGAGAGCTGCTGGAGGCGCAGTCCGTGCCCCTGAGGAATTACCTGATGGCCTACGTGATGCCCACGCTGATGCAGGGCCTGAATGAGTGCTGCAAGGTCAGGCCCGAGGATCCGGTGGACTTCCTGGTAGGACATTTATTTTTCGTGTATTAGTTTATTTAACTTATTTTGTGATTTGGGGAATCACACCTGATGGTGCTCAGGGCTGTCTCCTGGTTCTGCGGAGACTCAGGGGTCATTCCTGGCAGGACTTTGGGGACCATATGGGGTTCTGGGGATTTGAATCTGAGTTGGCCAGGGGCGAGGTAGCCTCCTTAGCTGCCAAAATCTTGCTTTAGCCCTTTTTTTTAAATTGGTCTTTGACTATTTTTGGCTTGGGCTCAGGGATTCTTCGTGGTTGTGCTTGGTGTTGGGGGCGGGGGGCACCCCATGTGGTGGCAAGGATGGAACCAGAGTCAGCTTCTTGCCTCGCATCACAGCTGATCCACTGTACTTTCTCTCTGGCCCAGATTCGGACATACCTTATTTTGAAAAGGATATTTTAAAAAGTAAAGATAGAGCTGGAGCCATAGTACAGCTGGTAAGGTGCTGGTCTTGCATGTGACCGACCCAGATTCAATCCCCAGTATCCTAGATGATCCCTTGAGTTCGCCAGGAGTGACGCCTGACTGAGTTCAGAGTCAGAAACTACCCCTGAGCATAGCCGGGTAAAACCAAAACCAAATCTAAAACTAAAAAAAAAAAAAAAAAAAAAAAAAAAACAACTAAACAAAATTGGAATCAGTAGCACCAGGAGTAATTCCTGAGCACAGAGCCAAAGGTTAGCCCTGAGCACCACAGGGGCAGGGAGTGGGATTTTGACCCTTCCCCTCCAAAACCAACCAACCAACCTGAAACAGTCTATTCTAAACAGGAAGTCAGTTGAAATAGAGAAATAAGACTTTGGGTCTGGGAATGTGGTTTAGAGGAAACACACTTGCCTTGCACTTATGAGGTCCTGGATTTTATGCCGGACATTAAAAACAGATGCTACTAATAAGACATTTTATTAATCGTTTGCAAGTAAAGAAGTAAGGTTTTTTGTTTTTTTTTTTTTTTTTTTTACCATACCTACTATACCTCAGTCCTTACTCCTGGCTCTTTTGTTCAGGGACTATGTCTGGTGGGTGTTGGGGGACCATATGGGGTGACAGGGATCAAACTATTGGTCCCTTGCTAAGCAAACTCCCTACCCACTACTGCTGTAGTAGTGGGTACACTTCTATTTTTCAATCGCAAATATGTGACTGATCAGTCTCTTGTATCTCCAAACTTGTTGACTTGGGTTTAGTTGGGTTATTTATTTATTTATTTGCATTCTTTCCATTCATTATAGGCTGAGTACCTCTTCAAGAATAATCCTGAAACACAGTGAAACTTTAAGGCGTCGTGTCATACACCCTTGCAGAGCTAGAGATGAATTTAACATCGCCTTTGGAAAAAAGAAATCCCTTGGAAAATTGCTTCGCTTTCCTTGCTGTAAAGAAATCTTCAGAGGAATGGTCATGGGAAGCTCTCTGGTAATGAGTCACTGCATCAGACCAATATATGAAAGGTAAACTGATAAGTTATCTGCAGATGGAGGTCGATGGACTGTTTCAGTCTTAGTCCGAGGATCCGTATGCCACTGTTTTCAGTAATTCATCGCATGAGGAAAGCCAGACTTGTCTTATTCTTGTAGGAAAGCTAATGAGTTTACTCATGGTGTCAAAAGTCCCTCTTCTGATGGTATTAAGGATGGAGATGAAAGTGGTCCACGTCATGTCAGTGTGGGGCAGAGGCAGATGCTTTCTGGCTGGCTTGGGGCCAGTAACACAACCACCAATGAGAATGGTAATAAACCTCTTGATCGAAAAGTCATGTAACCAGATAAATAATTCTAATATTTGTGCTAATTAATAAGTTGTCGAATAGTTTCAATAAACTAACTTTGCAATATGGACATCATCAATTCCTAAGATCATTCCTAACTCTCAAAAAATTTAATAATTACCAGAATCCCATGGAATGGTAACTTTAAAAAAATTTTTTTTGGGGGGCGGTCCATACCCAGAGGTGTTCAGGGCTTACTCCTGGTTCTGTACTCAGGGATCACTCCTGGTGGGGCTCAAGGGACCATGTGGGGTACCAGGGACTAAAGCCAGGTCAGCCACATGCAAAGCAATAGTACAGCAACCTGCTGTACAATTTCTCTGCCCCCCAACTTAGCTTTATTTAATATGTCCTTCCTCCCTTCCTCACTTCTTTCCTTCCTTCCTTCCTTCCTTCCTTCCTTCCTTCCTTCCTGTCATTTCTTTCTTTTCTTTCTTTCTTTCAGGGGTTGGGAGGCCATATAAGGTGCCATATAGATTCCCACTGAACTATCTCCTCAGCCCACATCACATAAAGTTTACCTTTCTGAATATTTGATTTTTTCCTCCCATTTTGGTTTCGGACCTGGCAGTGCCTGGGCCATTCATGCTTGAGAGTCACTTGAGGTGGTGCTCATGGTGCCATTGGTCCTTCTCCTGAATACAGAGCCTGTGCTCAGTCTTCTGAGCTATTTCTCCGGTCCAGCATTTGATCCTTTCAAAGCCACTCAGTCTTTGGTATTTGACCATGGGAGCCCAAGCCAACGAAGATGGACATCAACTCAAAACGGAACACAAAACCCCTGGACATGAGTAGTGAGAATACTCCTTGTTCCTTTCTTCCCCTTCTTCTCAGGGTACTTAGTTCTATTAATCGGTGTCCACTGGTTTATTTTATTTTACGGTGGTGCCGGATTGAACCCAGAGCCTCACCCGTACTGGGGCAAGTACTGTAGGCTGAGCTCTGTCCCCACCTGTAGTGGTTTTGCAGTGTGCGATCTGTGTACTAAGCACTTCCACTATGCCTACCTACCTCACCACTTCTTAGAACTTCCTCATCATCCTGACAGGAACCTGTGTGTCACTCCCCATGGTCCCCTCTCCCAGACCCCTTTCTGTCTCTAAGGGTTTCTGTTCCGGGGATCTTATGTAAAAGACATCACTCACAGTGCAACCTTGTATGTCCAAGTTCCCCCGCATCACTCCCGATATCAGTGCACCATTCCTGCCAATGACCGAGGAGCACTGTTGCATGGGAGGAGAATTTCTTAGTTTTCATCTATTTGTTCTGTGGGTTGGATACTCCAAAGCTTGGGCCTCACAATGTAACCCTGTTTGCGTCCAGTGGTCATGGGATCATCAGGGCCACGCCCAGCAGTATTGGGGGGATCTAGGGAGTGCCAGGGATTGAACTTGGGCCCCTGGGCATACAAAGCATGTGCCCCTCGCCCCAGAACTATCATCCTAGCCACCATGTCTTTTTCATTTCCTCCACTCATCCCCCTTCCCTTCATTGTTGATGATGTTACAATGACCGGGGGGTCACACTCCCTAAGTCAAGGCCCACCCATGATGGTTGTGGTGCTCACTGGGGGTTACTACAGTGTTCACACAACACTTTGTTTTGTGTGGAGGTGTCATCATAGTTCCTGCATGGGTGCTTGCTCATTTTCTCAGTAGTGGTTTTGCCAGGGGTGCACTCCTTGGGTGGTGTTTACACACACCTAGCTTCAGTGTGGCTGGAAATCATTTGGGCTGATATTTTGGTTTAAGTAATAATTACACGGGTACATACAAAGATAAAAATAACAGAATTCTGGGGCTGGAGCGATAGTACAATGGGGAGGGCGTTTGCCTTGCACACAGCCAACACAGGTTTGATCCCCAGCATCCCAGATGGTGCCCTGAGCCTGCCAGGAGTGATCTCTGAGTGCAGAGCCAGGAGTAAGCTCCAGACACAGCTGGCTATGGCCCTAAAATCCATAGCTCAGGGAGTTGGAGAGCTAGTCCAGTGGGTAGGGGGCTTGCCTTGCATATGGCCAACCTGAGTTCTATGCGTAGGTACCACCTGTGAAGTGCCTGGGATCAAACCCAGGTTGGCCATGTGCAAAGCAAGCTCCCTACCATCTGTACTAGCTCTCCAGACGATATTTTTTTTCTTTGTACAACTACTTCCATTTGGTTGTGGGTGGAAGTTGTGATTTGCTTCTATCCAATAAAATGCAACTGAACTTAAGCTGTACGCGTGTGAATGCAATTTTGTGAGCAGACTGCTTCCTTTTCTGCCGTCTGAACTTCCCTGCTTGATGAGCTGGCTGTTGGGTTGGAGAGGAGCACATTGATGAGGAATCAGCAGGGGTCTTGAGTAAACAACTAGGAAGCCGGACCCCTTTATTGGTTCTTGTTTTTTGGCCACACCCAGTGGTGCTCAAGACTTACTCCTGGCTCTGCACTCAGTGATCACTCCTCGCGGTGCTTGGGGGACCCTATGGGATGACAGGGATCAAACCCGGGTTGACCACATGCAAGGCAAATGCACTGCTGCTGTATTATCGCTCCAGTCCCAGACACCAACATCTTTAATCCAGCCACTTCAAGGAACTGAATCCTGTCAACCAGTCCAAATGGGGAAGTAGATCTTTCCCAGATGTGCCTTCAGATGAGAGCCCAGCCCTGCCCAACACCAAGAATGCGTGCACTATTGACAGATCCTGAACTTCAGAACTCTGCTAAACTCCTGTCTAGATTCCAGGCCCACTGACACTGTGACAGTAAACATCTATTATGCTAAGTAGCTTAAAGTTTGTTGGATTAAAGAGAGAGCACAGCAGGTAGGACGCTTGCCTCGCATACAGAAGACATGGGTTTGGTCTCCAGCATCCCATATGATCCCCTAAGCACTACCAGGAATAATTCCTGAGTGCAGAGCCAGGAGTAACCCCTGAGCATCGCAGGGTGTGGCCCTCGATCACAATCATCCTGCTGTTCGTCGATTTCCTCGAGCAGACACCAGTAAGGTCTCCTTCTTCCTAGCCCTGAGATTTTAAAAGAGCCATTTCAATGCTCTTTCAGGATTAGGAGAATGAGACCCTTCATTGTTACTGGTATTTGGCAGAAAGAAAATCCAAAATAGTGTGTTTTGGGGCTAGGGCAATAGCACAGTGGGTAGGGTGTTTGCCTTGCACGCGGCCGACCCAGGTTTGATTCCTCTGCCCCTGTCTGAGAGCCCGGCAAGCTACTGAGAGTATCTCACCCGCATGGCAAAGCCTGGCAAACTACCCGTGACGTATTTGATATGCCAAACACAGTAACAAGTGTCACAATAGAGACGTTACTGGGCCCACTCAAGCAAATCGATGAACGACGGGAGGACAGTGACAGTGACAGTGTGTTTTGGGGGCCAGAGTGATAGTCCAGTGGGTAGGGCATTGGCCTTGCACACAGCTGACCCAGAACTGATCCTTGGCACCATATATGGCCCCAAGTCCCACCAGGAATGACCCGAGTGAAGAGCCAGGAGTAAGTCCTGAATGCCGTTGGGTGTGTCGCCATAACAAAGCATGTTTTTTTTTTCTTGTTTTTTGGGTCATACCTACCTGTGTTCAGGTCTTGCTCCTGGCTCTGTGCTCAGGGCTAACTCCTGGCAGTGCTTGGGGGACCAGCTGTTGTACCAGGGATAGAACTAGGATTAAGGTGCAATACAAGCACCTTTTTGTTTGATTGTTTTCTATTCAGTTGTCAGCTACTTTTTTAAAAAAATTTTTTTATTTATTGAATCACCGTGAGAACAGCCACAAAGCTTTCCAGTTTAAGTCATACAATGTCCGGTTGGTCATACAATGATCAAACATCCATCCCTTCACCAGTGCACATTTTCCACCACTAAGAAGCCCAGTATATGCCCCCTCCCAACTCTCCCCCTGTCTGTGTAACAGTTTTTCACTTTACTCTCTCTCTACTTTGATCACATTCAATGTTACGACAAAAGACCCACCATTACTATTTGGGATTTCCCCCCAACAATCAGACCTGCCAAAAAGGCATCATTAAATAATTTGTTTTCTATTGCTGATTATGAAGAGCATATGATGTCGCGCAGCCACTATTGCGACCACGTGAGTTTGGATTTTTTATTTTTTTTTATTTTTTTGCTTTTTGGGTCACACCCGGTGATGACACAGGGGTTACTCCTGGCTCATGCACTCAGGAATTACTCCTGGTGGTGCTCAGGGGACCATATGGGATGCTGGGAATTGAACCCGGGTTGGCCGTGTGCAAGGCAAACGCCCTACCCTCTGTGCTATCGCTCCAGCCCCCGGATTTCTGATATTTCAGTAATAAGTCTGGAGGGATTGCTAGCAAAAGCCACTGGGTTCTGAGATTGGTTTGTGTGCCTCTGGGATCATGGTCGTTCAGGAGCCGAAGGAGGCGTTTGTGGACAGCAAGTCGGGGCCTCGTCAGGGCAGGGCTGGTTCCATCCCCCTACCCATCCCATGAGGTCCTGCAATGCAAGCACCTTACCCATTGTACCAACCGTCCAGCCCCCATTTTAAAAGTCCAGCTGAGGATGCAAAATGGGCTGGAGAGAAATCCTAACAGCAGGGAGAGGGCTGACTTGCTCTAAGCTTGTTACAGCCAAATTGAGGGGAGGGTGTGAAGGACAGGGAGAGAAGGCATTTCAGATGGGGTCTCGCGATGATCCATCACAGGTCGGAGATGGGCTGGGAGGGAAAGTATGGGATCAAGGAGAGTGGCTTGTTTTGTTTCTTCGGGTCACACCCTGCAATGCTCAGGGGTTACTTCCGGTTCCGCGCTCAGGAATTCCTCCTGATCACGGTTGGGGGTCCCGTATGGGATGCCGGTGATCGAACCTGGGTTGGGCGCGTGCCAGGCAAGCACCTTGCCCACTCTACGAACTCTCCAGCCCCCAAGCAGGCTGATTGGTGGCTCTGGCTGGATTCTGGAAGAGGAGGGTGCAGCTGAGGCAAGAGAGCAGAGGCAGCAGGGGGTGGGGCTGGTTCTCATCAGGATGCTGCCGTTCGTGGTTCTTTCATTCGAACCTGTCTTCGAAACAATATTCAGGATCTAAAAGGAAAAATGAGAAGTCAATGATGAAATAGCTTACGTACAGAAGTCATTAAATGAAAGGGCGTATTACTTTTGCTATATTACATTCACTTTAGTGACTCATGAGTCCACCGATTCAAAATTTTTGAATGAACCATCTGCAGCCAGATGAACCACTAGTATTGGAATAAACTACATAAATTACGGTCTTTCCAATGACCTAAATGATCTTGAGACTCAAGCCACAGTAGTTTCCCATTACAAGGGTACATTCTCAGAAGAGCATTCAGGGTGTGTTTTATTGGCGCACGCTCTGGATCTGGGCTGGAGCAACAGCACAGTGACAGGACATTTGCCTTGCATGCGGCTGCCCCTCTGAGAGAGCCCGGCAAGCTACTGAGAGTATCTCATCCGCACGGCAAAGCCTGGCAAGCTTTACGATACGATATGCCAAACACAGTAACAATAAGTCTCACAATGGAGACGTTACTGGTGCCGGCTTGAGCAAATTGAACAACGGGAGGACAGTACTACAGTGCAGTGCTACACTCTGGATCTCTGAGGACCAGTTTTCTTTCCAATCTTATGACAGTGTATGAAAAATGCAATCTGCATGATACTTAGGGTAACATTTTCCCCTGTCTCAGCACCTGGCAGAGTTGGACACTGGCCAGGTCTACAACGAACGGGTAGCAGCTGGAGGCAGTGGGCAGGTGAGGTAAGGGTTACAACATGGTCAGCTGGCCAGTATTGGCTTAGCTCATTTCCATTTCCTGGGGCTTTTTATCTTTGTTTTCTGGGACATAACCAGTGGAGTTCAGGAATCACTCCTGGTGGGCTTGGGGGCCATATGGGGTGCTGGAGATCAAACCCAGGTTAGCTGCATACAAGGCAAAAGTCTTACGGGGACTGTCACTCTGCTCCCTCCAGTTAATCCTGGAGTCCTAAATGTGTGGGTCCTGGAGGTATCCAACAGCCTGAGAGGCTTTCTTTTTTTTGGCTTTTTGGGTCTCACCCAGCGAAACACAGGGGTTACTCCTGGCATTGCACTCAGGAATTACTCCTAGCGGTGCTCAGGGGAACATATGGGATGCTGGGAATCGAACCCGGGTCGGCCGCGTGCAGGGCAAACGCCCTACCCACTGTGCTATCTCACCAGCCCCATGAGAGGCATTTTTGAACGTCCACCTGCCCTTAAAAATTGACCCAATCAAACTCCACTCCAGGGCAGGAGAAACAGCTCAACAGGCTCAGCTGGTAGAAATGACAGGTTTGATCCCTTACATCGCTTGGTCCTCCAAACGCTGCCTGGAGCAAGAGGACTGGGACAGGAGCAGCCCCTGAGCACAGGATCTACCTGAACTCAAACCCCAAAGCAACTATTCCAACACTCTGGAGTCTTCTGCTACCTCTCCCCTCACACCAGGATGCCCGACAGCTCCTCTGGTAGCCCCTGAAAGCTCTTTGCTTCGTTTCAGACTTAATGCTCTCTCCTTCTACAGGAGAGAGCTGGCAGGGTGCTGGCCTTACATACAGCTGACCCAGGTTCACTCTCCGATGTCACGTTCTGGGAGTCATCCCAAAGCACAGAGCCCGGAGGAAGCCCTGAGCACCGCTGGGTGTGACTCCAAAACCAGGAGGAAAAAAAAAAGCCACCTCCTCAAACATCCAGCTTCAAAGCTCAGTTCCAGCCCTTCTAATCCTTCTAATCCTTGGAGGGACTCTGGCCCTATCACAAAGGTGATCTCATCGCCCTTTCTCCTACTCCGCTGACTGCTTTCACTGTCACGATGGGTTGTGCAGGCAAACTCAGGCCATCCCCGTGCAGGGCATGAACCCTACTGACTGTACTTTGGCACCCGGCCCCACTTGCTCATGGTTCTTAACACAACCTGGCATTCCACTTCCCTTCCCCTCCCAAGATCCTAGAGAGTCAGGTCTCAGGACTTTGGAGCTTTTTTTTTTTATTATTTGTTTTTGGGTCACACCCAGCTGTGCTGTGGGACACTCTGGGTTCCGTGGGTTCTTTGGGCTGGGTCAGCCCGGATGGGGCTCTGGGTACCATCTTTGGTCAGGAGTGGAACCTGGGCACACTCGGTGGTCTCTCCGGCCCCTGGGCATCTTGACCTTTTCCTTCTCTTGGGGGGCCTTACCCAGTGGTGCTGAGGGTGACCGGGGCTACTCTGTCTGCTTGGGGATCCCTCCACGTGGTGCCCAGTGACCCACAATCCCAGGAAGCGTTTTAACCCTGTACTGTCTCCCGCTCATTTCTTTTCTTTTTTGCTATGCCGGGAACTATGTCTGATGGGGTTCAGGATGCCACGTGGTGAGGGAGAATGAAGCCCAGGGTCCAACACAAGGTGTTTTGCCACTAGGACACTGTCAGTTCCCATTGTATGATGTGCTTTCTGTTTGTTTTTTGGGTCACACCCCAGCGATGCTCAGGGGTTCACTCCTGGCTCATGCACTCAGGAATCACTCCTGGCGGTGCTCGGGGGGGGGGGGGGGGGGGGGGGGGGGGGGGGGGGGGGGGGACCATGCAGGATGCTGGGAATCGAACCCGTGTTGGACTTGTGCAACGCAAAAACGCCCTCCCCGCTGTGCTACGGCTCCAACCCCTGAAGTGCTTTCAAGCTGCCACACTAACCAACAAAAACAGGGCTGGGGGGACGCTCTCAGGGCTGAGAGTACATGGGGGTCCCCCCCCCCCCCACAACCTCCCCGGTCGTTCAGGGTGTGGGCCCAGAATCAAAACTTGCAAAACCAAACCGAACCAAATTTGCTTCTCTATCCGAAACAATGTTTCCACGTGTGATCAAAACCCACAGACCCACGGGGCGCTTTCTCCGCACTCAGCGTCCGGCAAGGGCCCCCCAAAGCGGGGCGCTCCGGGGGGGTGGGAGAAGCACCCCCCACTCCTCTGCGCGTGCCACGTGCTGCAGAGGCGCGCGGAGCTCGCGCCCCCCCACCCCGTTCCGTGCGCGCGCGTCTCCGCCGCCGCCGCCGCCGCCGCCGCCGCGACCTCGGGCGGCGGGCCCACCCACCGCGCCGGAAGCGGCGGCCCCGCTCGAGCTGGCCCGCCTGGCTCCGCTCCGCTCGTCGCCCCCGCGGCGCCGGAAGCGCGGCGCCCGGAAGTGGCGCGCCGGGCGGCGGGCGGGCGGGCGGGCGGAACTCCACTTCCCGGCAGCCCCCGCGGCGCCGCGCGGCGAGTTGCGCCTGCGCGCGCGCGGCGTGCGTGGCGGCGTCAGCGGTTCTAGAACGTTGCTGTGGTAGCGCTCGGGCGCCATGTTAGGACGAAGGGGAAGGAGGAGAAGCGCTTAAAGCGGCGGGAGCGGGTGCGGGAGCGGGGTTGGACCCAGGGCCGAGCCAGGCCCCCCCCGCCCTCCCGCCTCAGTGGATCATGCCCAGGGCGGCAGCGGCGGCGGTTGCGGGGGGGCAGTGACTGGGCGGTGCCGGCGCGGGAGACGATGCCGTTGTGAGTAGCGCCGCCGCTTCTGTTCCTCCTCCCGCGCACGCCGGGCCGCCTGGAGGGGTGGGGGGCGCGAGCCAGCGAGCGCGCGCGCGAGGGGCGGGCGCGGGGGGCTCGGGCCGGGTCGCCGCCGCCGCGCGCCCCGCGCCCCGCACCCCGCCGCCGCCGCCGCGCCGGGCCTTCCCCTTCCGGCCTTTCCCGCCCCTCGGCCCCGCGCGCGCGCGCGCCCCCCGCGCCCTCCCGCCTCCCGGGGACGCGGCGGGGCGACCCCCCACTCCTCTCGGTGGCCCGGGGACGCCCGCGCCGCTGTGTGTGTGTGTGTGTGTGTGTGTGTGTGTGGTCGGGGTGGCGGGGGAGGGGGTCCCCCAAAAGTTTGTCTGCGGGAGCGCGGCTTCCGTCTGCCCCGGGAAGTTGCCAGGGCGCCCCCGGGACGGACGGACGGACGGACGGACGGACGGACGGCGCCGGCCAGCCCGGACCGACCGTTCGCTTCTGGGTTGACCGCGCGCGCGTGTGCGTGCTTGTGTGTGTGTGTTTCTGTGTGTGTGTGTGTGTGTGTGTGTGTGTGTGTGTGTGTGTGTGTGTTTTCTGCAGGGGGGCAATCGTGCGCCCGAGCTCCCAGCCACGCGCCCCGGGGAAATACGGGCCCTGAGCGCGCGCCCCCCGCCCCCGCCCGCGGCGCCCGCAGGATGGAAGGGCCGAGTTGTGCGTTTTCTTTGACGCGGGGAGGGGGAGTTGTCGGCCGGGCAGGGCTGGGCCGGGGCCCGAGCAGGGGATTCCGGGCGGGGCCGGGGGCCTGGGGGACGCAGCGCCCGCCCGCCCGCATGTTGGTGGCCCTTTCGGAGCAGGAAGGGACTTGGCCTCGGGGCAGGGCCGCAGGTTCCGCGCTCCGTGCCTCGAGGCGCCCTGGAAGAGCCCGGCTTCGCCGTCCTAAGAAACTAAGAATACTTGCATGCTTTTTTTTTTTTATTTTTATTTTTAACCTCTGTATTTTTTTTTGTTGTTGTTGTTTAAGACTGGCTGGTGAAGACTGTAACTTGAAAAAACAAAACAAAACACTTAAGTGCTTTAAATTCTTTGCAGAAGAATCTGTTTCCTATATGCAAGTGAGGACTGGAGTTCAGTGGGCAGGGCGCTTTGCCTTCCAGGCGACCACCCCCGGCTCATCATCCTCCTCCGCATTCCATATGGTCCTCTGAGCATGGCCAGGTGTGGGCCCCCCCCCCCCCCAAACATACAACAGTGGAGACAGATGACACACATCGTGCCTTTCCGGTATTTGTTGTTGTTTGTTTTGGTGCCACACATGCCTGTGCTCCGGGCTAATTCCTGCCTGGCCCCAAATCGTGTTGGCACACTACTGCATCGGTATGAGATGCACTGCGTTTTCTGGTCCCGATTTTACAGTTTGTCCTGTGCTGTGCCGAGCAGATCATTATTGCATCAGCTCCTCTTATCCCGTTTGTAATAAAAAGGATTAGCACTCGGGTACCGGAGTACTTGGATTCTTACCAGAGCCACCAAAGTTGAAGTGACCCGAAGAGATGCTTAGGTAGCTGGGAGATGGGTAGTGGGCGAAGAGCTGTTGTCCTGAATTGTCGGGCCGGGCTGGTGCTGGAGGCAGGTAGTGTGGACCTGCTGGTGGAGAGTGCTAATACCGCGTGGCAGTGTAATAACACAGAGGCTCCACTCCTGGAAGGGTGTGTCCATGTTCGTATTATTACCAGGGGTAGTTGTGCTTTGTGGGGGTGGGTGTTTTGGGCCTCCCTGGAGGATGCTTTAGGGGCTTCTCCCAGCCCTGCGCAGGGGGGTCACTTCTGGTGGTGCTGGGGGACAGCAGTGCTCCCCATATGGGAAGTGAGAGCCCTGACCCTTATACTCTCTGGCCCAGAGTAATTGCCTCCCCCCACCCCCGTTTTGATTTTTGGGCCTGGCTGGTGTTGCTCTGTTGTGTGTTCTGGGGTCATTCTCTGGTGGTGCTTGGGTGACGGTGACCAGGCAGTGTTGGGAATAGCACTTGGGTCTTAGCGCTTGGGTCTTCTGCATGTGAAGCTTGCCTTTGGAGTGCACGCGGGTGGTCTCTCTCCCCTGTCCCCTGCTCTCTCTTCCCTCCCCATTTCTCTTCTCATTTGCTGTGGGGGTGAGTATGGGTCGCACCCAGCTGTGCTCAGGGCTCTTAGCTCCACTCGGATCACTCCTGATAGTGCTGGGGTCCATATGCGGTACTTGGGATGAAGCAGCTGTGTGAAAGGCGAGTGCCTTAACTCTGTGCTGTAACCCCATGGGCCACCCTAAAGCAGCCCCCCTCCCCATTTTAAAAAAAGTAAAATGTTATTATCGAGACTTGATACTTGAGGTGTTTTTTTTTTTAATGTCTTTTAAATCCGATCTCATAAAGGAGGAGTTACACATTAAGCTCTAACTAAAAGTAGAACAGTTTTTTTGTTTGGGGCCCAGACCAGACTGTGCTCAGGGCTTAATGGCACTATCAGTGCTTGGGGAACCAGCCATATGTGGTGTGGAAATTGAGGCTGGCCCGGCCGGGTGTAAGGCAGGTGCTGTGATGTCTCTTGCCCCGGGAGTGGTGGTTCTGAAAAGAGCTTTTGTGTGCTAGTTGTGCGCCGAATTAGTGTTTCGGAATTCTGTTTTTACCTGCAAAAACATGTATTGAGCTATGGATATTGATTTGGTAAAGGTAAAGGTAAAGGCCCTCCCGTTGATCATCGATTTGCTCCAGCGGGCCCAGTAACGTCTCCATTGGAGACTTTGTTGTTACTGTGTCTGGCATATCGAATTCGTCACGGGGAGCTTGCCAGGCTCTGCCGATTCATATGGACAATTCGTTATTTGCTGAGAATGAATTGAAGCTTGTCGCTTTAAGGAAAACTGATAGAGTTTGGGCCACAGATAAAATTTGAGCTTTCAAGCAAAAATGAGAATTTGGGAGGCTGGAGCCATGGCATAGCAGGAGTTGCATGCAGTTGACCCTGCTTCCATCCCTAGTACCACAGACTGTCTTCCAAGCCAGGAGTGATCCCTGAGCGCTCTTGGATAAGGCCTGAAAACAAAACAAATTTTGGGACACTTGGTTCTGATCCTCACAGCTTGACAACTTCCCAGTAATTGTTTGCAATTTGATTTGTGGTGATATTAAGGAGTCGTTTTTCTGATATAGGTAAGAATGTGTCAGCATTTGGAAGATGTGCCTGTTTCAGTGAACTTACATTTTCCAAGCCTCCAACTCATGATGTCAGTACCATCATATATGGGCAAAATGCATATTTTAAGGCTTAAGGTGGACAAGTTGTTTTTATGCAGCCGAGTGTAAAGGGCTTGTTGATGTATGGTTTGAGCTTTCAGAATGTTACTCGTTTAGAAATTACCACTTGTGAGGTATTGGTGTGCTTCAAAGATTTATGAGTTATTTGAATGGCTTTTACATTACAGTATTTTAATTTATTTTTGTGTTTTTGGGTCATACCCAGTGGTCCCTCGGATGTACACTTGGCTCTCTGCTCCTCTCCTATGTGACTGAGCACCGGTGGGAGCCACGTGTGGTGCCTGGCACTGGGTTTTGAACCCATCTTGGTGCTTACAAGGCGAAAGCCCCACCCTCTGAGCTATCTGTAGCCCCAGGATACAGCATTTTAATAGCTTTCTAATGATAATGTAGTGATGTGTCTTTTCTTGATAGGTATCTATTCCATTTTGGGGCCACACCCAGTGGTGCTTGGGGGCTACTCCTGGTTCTGTAGTCGGGAATCACTCTTGGCAGGCTCAGGGGACCATGTGGGATGCTGAGGAAGGATCCAGCCTAGGTCAGTCTCGGGCAGAGCAAGTGCCCTCCCCGCGGTACTAACATTCCTGCCCTTCTGTTCAAAAGATTTTATGGAAAAAAGATTTAAATTTGTTGGAGCAGTTTTGGAAATCCTGCTGTCTGTTATTAAGTCATTATTTATTTATTGCTTTTTGGGTCACACCCGGCAATGCTCAGGGGTTATTCCTGGTTTTGCACTCAGGAATCACTCCTGGTGGTGCTCGGGGGACCATATGGGATGCTGGGAATCGAACCCGGGTCGGCCGTGTGCAAGGCAAACGCCCTCTCCGCTGTGCTATTGCTCCTGCCCCTAAGCCATTATTTAAAGAGATTTGCAAGAATATAAAACTTATTTTAAGTTTTTGTTTTGAAAAGCTTACTAAAAATGATTGTCTTGGGAGGTGGCCCAAAGTGGAGCACCGCTTTTCATACAGACTCAGTTGGTTTACCCCCGCTGCCAGTTCAGAGTTGCCCTCAGACCAGGCATGCCCCCAGAAGTTATTAGCATGTCGTAAATTCCTTATTAATAAAAATGAGTAAGCATTTAAAAAAATAACACTTCAAATTTTCAGTTCAGTAAATATTGGCACACATAATTATATGAATTCTTTGGGATCTTCAGTATGTTTTAAGAGGTATAAAAGAGCCCTTAGACTAAAAAAAGGATTGAGAACTCGAGAACTGTACAGCTAACAGTTGTCCCAAGCTTCTATTTTCAGTGCTAGTTGGTTTCTTTTAAATGACCACACGAAAACGTGTAGACAGTTTTGAAAAGTCTTGAGGAATTGGGAGACATGGCTTTAGAGACTGTGTGTGTGTGGGGAGGGGGGGGTTCAGTGGAAAAAATCTTAAATTACTTGTAGGGAGATAACGGACAACTTCTAATTTAGGTTTTCGAGTTGTTCCCTCACTCTTCCCCTCTACCCGCCTTGTGGGGGAGGGGGAAGGCCACACCCGCTGCTTCTAGGGGCTTGTTCCTGGCCCCAGCTCCAGAATCAGTCCTGCAGTCCTGGTGGGGCTAAGGGGGCCATAGGTGGTGCTGGGGATTTTTTTTCTTTTCTTTTTTCTTTTTGGGTCACACCCAGTGCTGCACAGGGGTTACCCCTGGCTCTGCGTTTAGGAATTGCTCCTGGCAGTGCTGGGACCGTACTGGGTGTCGGGGATCAAATCTGGGTTGGCTGCCTGCAAG